AGGGCCGGCGATCCGGGCCGCCTCTGCCAGGACTGTGCTCCGAGGATCTTGAATCTTCTCCCGAGATTCTTTTCAGCCTTGGAAACTGAGATTCCCTGGACATTGTCCCAGTGCCTCTGAAGCCCATACCACAGGGCTCAGTTATCAGGGACGTGGTGTCATAATAAAGTTTTCCTGGTACTTCCAGTAATAGCTTCCCCCGCGGGTCCTGTTACAGCAGAGCAGCAGGGTGTACCTGTCCCGGGCCTGGCTTCCAGGGAGGCGATTAAGAGAAACGAGGAAACGGGGCCTCGTGTTGTGGTACATAGTTCACATAATTATGTTTTATGGTCTCCTACTGTGTTGCATAACTTCACACGAAATTAATTCCCTGTTCATTTTAATGCGATTAAAAAAAATCAAAACATTTGGTGTGACTGTTAATCTTCTAGAGTTATACCGCTACGACAGTATCCCTGGAGCTCACCCCTTCCTAAGGCGGCCGCGGAGGGCGTGGGAGGCCCGAGTCCAGGGAGCTGCTGGGGTGATGCAGCTCTCAGTGGGAGAACAGCACCACCGCCCCGGGGCCCTGGGCTTTGATTGCGGTGCCTGTGCCATTGGAAACTCATTTTTTAGTGTCACTGCTGTTATCAGGCACCGACTATGCTGTCAGCGGCTCAGTGGACACAGGATATTGTGAGCAGGGTTTTGTAGTCAGAGAGACCGGGGGTCAAAACTCGGCTTTCTCATTTACTAGCCGTGCAGCCCTAAGTTCAAGCTTATCTACGAGGAGCTGTTAGCACCTCCTTGCAGAACGGCTGTGGGGATTATGAGTGGAGCGTGCCACACCCAGGCAGAGTGCGGGGTGCAGAGTAGGGCCTGGACGAATGCACCGCTCATGCTGTTGGAACTGTTCGGTCCTCGGACCCAGACCGGGCTCCCAGCTGTGGGGTCCTGAAGGAATCGGGGGCGTTAGCCCCTGAGTGATCACTGGATGTCTTGGCAGGAGATGGCAGCTAGCTCTCCGCTTCCTCAGCCAGAGCTCCGATGGGTAGTCGCCGGGGAGATAAAATGGAGCTCCTTTCGCAGAGCATGGAACTCGGTGTGGAGGGAAACAGAGGTGGAGGCCCGTTTGCTGAATTCCGTTCTGTAAGTCACACCGACAGAGAACACTTGAGGCATTTTATTGTTAATCCTCACCTGGAGATATTTTTCCATTGATTTTTAGAGTGGAAAGGAAGGCGAGAGACAGGGAGAAAAAACATCGATGTGAGAGAGACACATCAGTTGGTTGTCTCTAGCATGCGATCTGGCCAAGGCCAGAGACTGAGCCTGCAACCCAGGTACGTGCTCTTTACCAGATCGTACCTGGCCCATAGAGTCCACAGGCTGACTCTATTCACTGAGCCAAACCGGCTAGGGCCATGATTGGCAAACTGCAGCTTAAGAGCCACATGCAGCTCTTTGGCCCCTTGAGTGTGGCTCTTCCACAAAATACCACGGCCTGGGCAAGTCTCTTTTGAAGAAGTGGCGTTAGAAGAAGTTTAGTTTAAAAAATTTGGTTCTCAGAAGAAATTTCAATCTTTGTACTGTTGGTATTTGGCTCCATTGACTAATGAGTTTGCTGATCACTGGGCTAGGGCACACTTGAACTTTTAAACTGGCCAGAGTCCTCAGCCTGCTCCTTGGCTGCCTGGTGCCCCTCCCAGTGGTGACACCCGACCTGTCTGCTGGCACCTGTACAGACACTCCATTTTGCATCAGACTCAGCACATCTGTTTCCTGCTAGAACCCTGGCTCCCGCTCCCTCATTCTGAAACCAATCTACATGGCCATGAATTCCCCATGGGGCCAGTGGCACGTGGGATGAATGGCATAGCCTTTGGGAGAAGGAAAGAAACAACATTTACCATAAAGAGCCTCCTATCCAAAGATAGACTTCTTGCTGGGGACCCAATTGCCAGCCAAGATTTGGGGCTCCGCAAATCTGCCTAATTGGAACATAAACCCACAGAAGATACCAGTCTCTACTCAATCAGAAGGTTAAGTTTTATAGCAGGTTTAAAGTTCTTACTATGAACAGTCATAAACTTAGGTCACTGGGTTTCGAAATTTCAGAACTCCAAAGGCAGATGATAGTCAAACTGCATTTGCCTTTTTTTTTTTTTTTGTCTCTGTGGGTGTGGCAGGCCCCAGAGGGCCTTAGTCATCTCGGGGACTCAGAGTGGCCCCAGTCCAGCTGCAGTGGTACAAAACGCCAGAGGGTAGACTCATTTTCTTCCTGGCCCTTCAACACGCTGGAGAAATTTGTTTTCTTCACATTAAATATCTGATCCCAACTTGTTCATGTTTTGGTTCCTTCTCACACGAGCAGAAGGGAGATAATAAAACACTTTGTCTCTTTTTGCTGTTTTCTGGTGTTTTAATTTTGCACAAAAGAGAACTTAGAGCATGCTTTGGGAGCTTAAATCAGTGCCTGCTCTCGAGTGGTTCTGGAGCTGCCCTACCAAACAGTGAATTTGTTCAGTTTGCCTCGCATTCTTCAAAACAATGTTAAGAGGTTGTAACAGTTCACACTGGTGAGGTTGCTGAGTGATTGTTTTCTGCAGCTGCATAAACAACTTTGACTGGAGGGACATTAAAACGGTCATTACAACTGTAATCCTTACGTTCAAACAGGCCAGTAGAGACATGGAAGCTAAAAATAGACCCAATTAAAATTTCTAGAGATGAAAACTATAATGTGTGCTATGAAAAACACACTGGAGGTGATTAAAGCAGATTAGACATCAAAGGAAAGATTAATGAATTTGAAGATATAGCAGGAGAAATTTATTCAACATGAAACAGAAAGAATAAGTTAAAAAGAAAGTAGAAAGAGCGTGAGGGAGCTGTGGGTAACTTCAGATGGCCTAATAATGTGTGTAATTGGATTCCCTAACAAAGGAAGAGTTAGCAAAATATTTGAAGAAATAATGACTGCACATTTTTCAAATGTTATGAAAACGATAAGCCCTTAGATCCAGAAAGCTCTGTGAAGCCCAGCACAAGATATACGGAGAAAACTAAGCCCAAACCACTTCACAATCCAAATTTCTCACAATCAGCAAAATCATAAAAGCAGCCAGAAACAGGTGGATGAACAAACATGAGGGTGACAGCAGATTTATTGTCAGGAACCATGCGAGTGAGAACATGGTGGAACACATCTTTAGAGTCAGTGGGGATGGCGGGCAGAGGAAGCAAACTGCCAACCAATGAGAATGTTTCTCAAAACTGAAGGCCAAACAAAGCCTCCAGACACACAGTGACTGAGAGATGTGGTCATTAGTTGAACTACAGTAAGACTTGGAGGGGCCTGTAACCGTATTCTAAGTAGAGGAAGACAATCTGAAAAGGTTAAGGAATGCATGATTGCAGCTGCATGACATTCTGGAAAAGGCAAAACTGCAGAGACAATAGAAAAATTAGTGGTCACCAGGAGGAGGGGATGGAGGGGACATTTTAGGGCAGTGACTCTATTTAGGGCATGCAGCACAGTAGCGGTGGATACCTACCTAACTTTTTTAGAACATTTGTCAGAGCTCAGAGGACTGCGGAGCACAGGGTGAACCTGAATGAAAACTATGGACTTGGTAAAAAGGAAATAAATAAAAACAACAACAAAAATTTGGAAACGTTGAAAAAATCATATAGTTTGTTACATGCCAGTCTCACCCCAATAAAGCTGGTAAACCTGCCAAACTGGCCGAGCTGCACCTTCTGTGAGAGGTACGGTCCTGAGGTGTTGCCCCCTTGTGCACAGAAGTGGCCTCTCCTGCCCGCACAGTACTGCCGCCTCCCCTGGCCTCTGCAGCCGGAGGGACTGTCACTGTCTAAGAGCGTGGAGGAGGCCAGTCTCCAAATGCTGCATGTGAGGCTGTGGGCCATTTTCTTATGACCCCTCTCTGTAGCGACATCCACTTTGAAAATCAGCGTCAATGATGGGTGTTACTTGGGTGGCCACAGGCCTGCGTTCTGACTCCTGTGGTGCCCATAACTGATCTAAAGGTTTGGGGCACTTGCTTCACCATGGCAGACCTCAGCTTCTTCATCTGCACAGTGGGTGGGTTTTCCTGGGACCCTGTCTGGCCCCTTCCCATCGCAAACCCCGTTTCTGTCGGTAGTAAGCCTTGTCACACTTCTATACGGAGTGGGATGTGGTGAATGTGTGTCTACTACATCCCCGGGCATTTGCCACAGCAGCCCTATTGCATGTAGGGGCACCGGAGACCCTCGTCACTGACTCCCTCTGCCTCAGGTTGTGGGCAGAACCCTGAGTCTGACTTGCTCCAGGCCAGGTGCCCATGGCTGGGCTCAGGCTGTAGTTGCTGCCCTCAGTATTGTTATTTTTTCAGCCTTTCAGACATCCCAGCCCCGAGATCTCTCTTGGCTGAGAGAACCTCCTCCATCTGCAAAGACCTGTCCACATAGCAAAGTCCTGGGTGTTTTCTTAGCCCAGAACTGAGAGGTGGTCCATGGTGTGACTGTCAACCGAAACACGAAGGCTGAGAGTTGGACGATTTTCCTAGTAACTGAGCCTCCGGAGAGCGCATCTAAAAATGCCTTTATGTTCAATCGGTTAAGTGTACATTTTGAGGTAGAAAATATCCTTTAGCTAGTCTTGTTCCATGAGCCTACCCTATCTCTAAAATTCTGTAAGGGCCTTGGGATGTAATTGACCAAGAAGCTCTGTTTGGCCTGAAGGGGGTCAAGTTCTCAAGCTGGACAGCAGAATCAAACGGCGCCCTGAGCACGGCCAGGGGCCTCTTTCCTCTGTGACTTGCGGATGCTCTTTCTGATGTTCCACCTGTCCAAGAGGAGGACAGAGGATCCGTGTCTCTGACCGTGTATGGTCTCCTGCGACCACTGTCTCAGCCTCTAGAGCCATCGTTTGAAAGTGAAGCCCCATAAAAAGCAACTCTCCCAGTGTCTGTGTTTGATCTGGTTTTTTATTTTTTTTTTATTTTTTATTTTTTTAGGACTTTGTCTAGAGAAGTTGCCTGTTTCCTCTTCTACCAGTAACCTCCACGCGGACCGCGAGCAGGAGGTCATCACCTGCTATGAGAAAGCGGGGGACATCGCGCTGCTGTACCTCCAAGAGATAGAAAGGGTAAGTGAGGGCCGTGCGCTGGTTCCCGTGGACACTTCAAAAATCACACTGTGGGGGACTGTGGTCAGCCTCGGGAAAACCGGCAGCTTGTCCGCCTCTGGGCCCAAAGCTTTCCTCCTCTCCCGGACGCCCAGGAGAACCTGGTGGCGACCGTGGCCTCGAGAGCGTAGACGGGTCAGAGCTCGGGAGGCGCTGGCACATGCTCTGAGCAGAAATGACGGTATGCATGTGTTGATGCCCTTCCCTCCCCCCCTGGCTGTTCTGTCCGTTCTCCTTCGCAACGTGGGGGGATCTTCGTGTGTCCTTGGTGGACTCTCTGCCAGCGAGAGAGTACATCCTGGCGTGGAAGGCTTTACCTTGAAGGCTATGCCGGAGGTCTGCTGGGGACTCTCAGCGGACCTGCTCGGAGCAGGTGTGTGTCCCCTGAGACCATCCAGGAGTCCCTGGTTTATCTGTCGTATGGGGAATGGAAACAAGCAGCTAATGGGGAGGACACCCGACCCGTGAGTGAAGGGGCAACAGACCCCAAGCCCACCTCCTCGGGCAAGGGACACTGGAGCAGGATGGATCAGGGAGGTGTGCGATGTGTGTTGTTTAGAAGGATCTCTGTCGTTTGGCTCTGCTCGTTCCTAAGCTCCTTCACTTTGCAGCCTCAACACCCCCATCTGAAAAAGGAGCATAAGAATGGCTCCTACTTCATGGCGTTCTTGTAGGGATGATAACAGGCGATGTAAATTCATTCTCGCAGGATTCTTGAATGAATGTCACTTGTTTTTACCAAGATCTGCCCCCAGCAGAGCTTTCTGGAGTCTCACCAAGGCTCGACACAAGATGGATCCTGCGAAGTATTTTGAAATGATTAGAAATCCTTCGAGACTTTGAAAATGACCATGATCTTGGTTCCCATCAATTTCATAGGTCCTCCATCTCTGTGAGGAGTAGAATAGAGAGGAACTACCAAGTCAGGGTTAGTTTTTGTTATTTTGTATGTGTACAGACTGGAAGTGATTTCTTCATAAATAATGTATGTGATGAGGACCAGAGTTGCCTCTTAGGAGGCCGGGAGAGGAGGTGGGAGCACAAGAGAGAAGGGGGGAGGATGGTAGGGTGACGTTGGGCCTGGCCTGCACCCAACGGACTCTCAGCCACGGCTCAGCACACTTGGGAATTTAGAAAGATCTCTGGCCATCATGCCAAAGTGTTCTATCCGAAGACTGCTATGAGAAAGGAGTTTTTTTTATGTGTGTTATTCAGAAGTTATGATTGATGTTTAGAGAAATGATCAGGCAGCTTGCTTTCAAAATCACATGGTTTTCCCTACCTGCCTCGTTAGCCAGGCTCCCAGCAGGGAAACTGCTAACTCCAGTTGAGCCATTTTTACAGGTCCCACAGCCCTCACCATTCCGGGCCCTCATTTTGCACTTTCTTTCTCCAGCAGCTGCCCAGCCCTATCCTGAAGGGTTGCCTTCTCAGGCCGGGAGGAAGGAGGTTCATCTGTTACAGGTGTCTTCATGGTACGGGAATTGGCAAGTCTGGATGTACTTCCTGTCGAGTTCATTTATAACCACCCGTTCACCGCGAGAGTCTTCAGGCAGACTGTCAAGGAGACTCATAGGATATAACATATTTTTTTGGTCATTTTGGTGAAATGGTGATCATAGGACGTTAGGTTTTGAGAAGAAAATGCCCAGAAAGGGAGAGCCCAAGGGCACAGAGGAATTTGGGGCCAAAGCTAAAATTAGATCTTAGCTTTTTCTTTACCTAATTCAGCACTTACTCACTTCACTGTCCCAGGCTCCTGTGGTTTCCTACACCCTTATATATAGAAAATGCTCACTAAGTCTTTGGCCAGGGGAATCCTCACTCTTAGTAGCATGGGGAAGGGTGTGTGGATGACTTTCACGTTTCTGGCTCAGTTTTCCAGTCTGAGCCTCCTCAGATCCAGCAAGCTGAGATAGTAGCCCTGAGAGCGATGGAGTGAACCAGACATCTGTTTTGACTGTAGTGCGTGCTTAAGAAACGATCTGTTGATCGATGAGACGTCTGGAGGCAAGATGATCTTCCGTTATGTGACCTTTGGGCTTACTGAAAGTTCAAGGTTTTTATGAGACAAGATAATGAGGATACCTGCTTGGACTTAAAAAATTTTTTTTTTTTTTTTTTAACTTAAATGACTTGAGAATTATGCAAAATTGAAAACAGAAATTTTAAGGAAAACGGATCGGAAAGAGGGCCAAGACTGGGGCAGGCGTGGGCAAACAGTGCTTTGAATTTCTGGGGAGGCAGCTCTTGAGAGTAGGAAATGCCACGTACTCTGTTCCTGCATTGGTTCTGCCAGGCCGAGGCAGTCCGTCCCTTAGTGGCTTCCCCTCCTTTCCCAGCCGTTCTACAGCAGAGAGACTTCTGTTTGCCAGGACCTTTGGGCATTTTGCTTATTCGTGCTGGCTCTTAGCTTCATGCACTGGCAAGAATAATTTTTTTTGGGGGGAGGGGGAACTTTTGAGGACAGTGGGAATCTTGTGGCCAGACTTCCAGTTTGGGAACACTGGATTGCATTTCCTAGGCAGCTCATTCTTGGAGCTCCCCTAAAAGTGGGTACGTCCAGTGATGCTACCCTGTTTTCCCGAAAATAAGACAGTGTCTTATATTAATTTTTGCTCCCAAAGATGCGCTAGGTCTTATTTTCAGGGGATGTCTTATTTTTCCATGAAGTAGAATACGGTACACATTTATTATTAAATGAAAATAAAGGAAATTTATTACCTGTATATGGTATGGTAGTATGGTAGTTGTCAACACAAACCAGACAAACTGTGAATCCTACAGTATCAAGAATTTACTCATTTATTCAATGACAATCATGTCATCATCTTCTGGAACATCATCATAACAACCCAATTCCTGAATTTCCTGATGAATTTCTTGTGACTCCATTTCTTTCAGAATCAGTGGATCAAATCTCTCATGTTTAGCAATAGCACTGTCCTTAAATGAGTACTTCTTGTCAAGGTAGCCTGCTTGCAGCGCATTTGCAATGCAACTGTCAGTGATTTTCTCCCATAAATTCTTCACCCAAGTCACAACTTCTTGCAGTTTAGGTTTCACAAAGTTTCCACACTGATTTCTCTCCATTCTATTTTCTTTTCTTTTTTTTAAAATATATTTTATTGATTTTTTACAGAGAGGAAGAGAGAGGAATAGAGAGTTAGAAACATCGATGAGAGAGAATCATCGATCAGCTGCCTCTTGCACACCCCCTACTGGGGATGTGCCCGCAACCAATGTACATGCCCTTGACCGGAATCGAACCTGGGACCTTTCAGTCCGCAGACCGACGCTCTACCACTGAGCCAAACCGGTTTTGGCTCCATTCTATTTTCAATGTAGTCATTAATTTCCATGCACAAATTGTCTTTGAATGGCTTGTTTATTGCAATATCAAGAGTCTGGAGATAGGCCGTCATTCCTGCGGGAATCATTATCTGATGTATTTTTCTTTCGCGAAGAAATGTCTTCATGTCTTTAGCGCGGTGAGTGCTGGCTGCATCCCAGACTAGCAGACCTCTTTGGCTCCCTCGCATAACAAGCGGCAGCATTAAATCAACTCACTTCCTTATAACTGCTTGTGTGGCCCAGGCTTTTTCAGTTCAAGAATAAAACTGGCCAAAACCGGTTTGGCTCAGTGGATAGAGAGTTGGCCTTCAGACTGAAAGGTCCCGGGTTTGATTCCGGTCAAGGGCACATACCTTGGTTGCGGGGTGTGCAAGAGGCAGCTTGGGGGTGTGCAAGAGGCAGCTGGTCGATGTTTCTCTCTCATCGATGTTTCTAACTCTCTATCCCTCTCAATTCCTCTCTGTGTAAAATCAATAAAATATATTAAAAAAAAAAAAAGAAAAGAATAAAAATGCCCAAAACACGTTTAGTCTTTTCCTTCTTGTCTTTAGAAATGATTAAAGGTGGGATTTTAGTGCCATCCAGACGAACTGCCAAAATACAGGAAACACGTGCACTTTTGTAAGCAGTGGAGGGAATGTACACTAAGGAGGCACCCCGCTGTTAAATTGTTGTTTGAGATGATTGGCCCATAAACACTGCAGTCATCCATAGCAATCATGTTGGAAAGATTGTATTTAGAGAAGTTAGCATCATCAATAAAGGACTTGAATGCAAGTGCTCGCTTAATAACTTGAGTATCTTCCAACCTAAACAATGCTGTACCGGTAGATCTTTTTAAAGACAGTTCACTTTGCTGAAGGAAATTATCCAGCCAGTGTTGTGATGCTTTGAAGTCTTTGGGGGCTATGTCAAACTGTGGTGCCATTGCAAGGGCAAATTCTTGAATCTAAGCCCTATTCACAACCAAAGCCTCTGCTCTCCTGTCAGCAGCCCATTCACAGATCAGGTCTTCCAGCTCGGAAAATAATGGTTGCTGACCTGATCAACACTTGCTCTTTTTAGCATTTCCCTTGTCTACTTGTTCAATGAGGTTACCATACTCTGCTCGCCATTTCAGACCAATTGAATACTCAACATCTTCTCTTTGCAGAAAGCAGTAAGATTTTGGCCCCAAGGGTCTTCCATGATTCCTTTCTTGTACTCCACGGAGTAGCTTTTTCTTTTTGCGCTCATATTCTAGGGGTAAAAAAAAGGAATTGAGGTATCAAGGTGGGGGGAGGGGGATCACTTAAAATGACACAGAGGGATCAGAGGGGAGAATCAAAATGGCGCAGGAGAATCAGAGGGGAGATTACCATTTTAGTAACCCCTTGTGATCCTCCTGTGTCATTTTGATTGCCCTCTCTGATCCTCCTGTGTCATTTTAAGTGATTCCCCTCCCTCCACTCCTGTGCCACTGAACACCTTCACCAGACAACCCTCCTACCCCTTTATCAGACATTTACCCTCTGGGGCCTGCCTGGAGACTGTCACTGGGCTTGCTGGGGCCTGGATCTGGGCTGGAGTAGGGTCTGCCACTGACTGAGAACCTTCAGTCATCATGA